TTTGCACTGCACATATTTGTATTTGCACTCTTTAGGCTCAGTTTGGAAAGAGTACAAATACAATAATGTAGAGTGTAAAACCTTGTATTTGGCATTATTTTGTATGTATTTGCAATGTATATGTTTGTATTTAGGCCCATTTGCTTTTTGGTAAGTTATTTAACTGGGTAAATGCAATTATTTGGGTAGGTTTTTCTTGGGAAACACTTACCCAAGTAAATGCTTTTACCCCTGTTCTTTTATTTTCGAAGTAAATATTGTAATGACCATTTTAGCCATAAAAAACATTATTAAAAGGGGTTTCTTTGTCCCATTCAAGTGTTAGCAACTTTCCCCTAGGTAAGAAAGTTATTTACCCATTTAGGAGATTGGTATCACTTATCCGGGTAAGTGATCTATACCCAGGAAAATAAACTTTCCTCGGTCTCCACATAAATATGAAAAATGATCATGGGATTCTTGGTCAATGGGAACGCCCACTTATACCCTTTCCAAACTGAGTGCAGGAAAAGAAAAAAAAAAGTGTTTGTTCTGCTTCTCAACTGTCTGTTTCTCTCTTATTTTCTATCAAACCCAAAACAGCCTTAGTGTGCTCTTGGCACAATCTACACATTTTTAATTACTAAACCTAGAGAAGGGCTATTATTGGACAAGTGACAAGGGTTTTTGAGCTGCAATTTGCCCCATAAGTAGAAGTGGTAGTAGGACGAGTGTATATATACATATATACACTTAGATTGATCAACTAGAATATTTTTTTATTCTTTCTTGAAAGCCTTCATACAAAGTGTGTATCCCTCTTTTTAAGAAAAATAATACACAAAAAAAAAAATTCATCATCATCCATGACTTATGGCTTATATCAATTATATGGGGTGGGGCTACATGAATACTATTTTGCCAATCCTTTCTATTTAAAGTCATATTCGCTATTAAATTATTAGTGTTTAAATCATTTATTTTATTTCTACACGTCTTTTTTGTCTACCTTGAGCTCTTTTAGCCCCTTCAATGTGTAATAAATCACTTCTTCTAATTCACACAATTAGTGGTCTTCTATGTGTGTGCCCTAATCATATCTACTCTTTTTCATTTTGTCACCTATTGGAGCTATTCCTACATTCCTACACAATACACAAAAAAAAATAATACAAATGGGGAGTTAAAGAAGTTATATGAGATGGCTATTTCATTTTAGAGATTTTGAATGTGTTTTGATTAAAAAAAAAGGTTTTCCAGCTAATTAATATTAAGTCATCTTTGAAATGAAGCTTATCTGATTTTGGATAGGTGATTCCTGTGAAAGGACCCATTTTTTTCTGATGTGCATATGTTCACATGCCTGGTCACGAGGGAAAACACAAGCAGTTTGTGTTTGGAAGCTGCTTGTAGGCCATGAAACCCAAGTAACTCAAATTTGATATTTAGTCCCCATTCGTTTTTCGTTAAGTTACTTGTCCAAGTAAATGCAATTACCTGGGTAAGTTTTTCCTGAGAAACATTTACCCAGGTAAGTAAATTTATCCGTGTTCTTTTATTTCCTAGGTAAATAAGGTAATGACCATTTGAGCCATAAAAATCCATTATTAAAAGGGGCATTTTTGTCCCATACAAGTGTTAGCAACTTTCCCCCTAGGTGGGAAAGTTATTTACCCACCTAGGAGATGGGTACCCAAGTAAATATACTTTCCCTAGTCCCCACATAAATCTGAAAAATGAACATGGGATTCTTGGTCAATGGAAACCAAAATCCCATTCCCCCGCTCTCAAAATCCAAAAAAAGAACACCCCCTTAGGCTTAGTTTGGAAGGAGTATAAATACAAATATGTACAGTACAAATACATACAAAATACATAGTTCTGCACTCTACATATTTGTATTTATACTCCTTCCAAACTGAGCCTTAATATCTACACCAACTTCACATCTGCGCCCCACAATGTCCCACAGTGCATCCTCGCCATGTATTGGGAACATCTCCCGATGATAATACCAGACCCAATGATGTCATCACCAGGAGATGTTCCCAATACACAGTGGGGATGCACTGTGGGACATTGTGGATGCAACCTGGACTGGGTTAGCTAGCCTGAACCCAACCCAGGAAAGCCAGGCAGTTGGGGTATGTATGTATGCATCATTAAATGTATATATCAATAATTTCAATTTTTTTTGGATAAACAACAATTTTAAGTTCAAAGGCAAAATTTTTAAATATAACTTAAGAATAAGCATAATACTCTAATAGGGAAAAAAAAACATATAGTAAGGCACCTTAACTTTGTCTTTGTACATATAATAATGCTAAAATCAGCTAACCTTGATAATTAAGCTAATCCTAACTCTAAGAAATAAGAACATTTTAGCTAAAAGAAATGAAAACATAAGACCAATTCAAGCCCATTCCTAAGCTGGGTTAAGGTTAGGGAAGAAGATTCAACAGCTCGGGTTGAGATAGGGTTGACCTTAACCTAACCTAAACCCAGCTCAACTTGGATAAAACTTAATTTGGCTCCTACCTGGTCAGAGGAATGCATCTAACCAAGTTCTTAATTTTAGGGTTTAATTTAGGGGTTTAATGTTTAAGGTTTAGGGTTAGGATTTAAGGGTTTAGATTTTAGTATAAAAATAATATTTTCTTTTTGTAAATTAATAAGTGGATCGTACATATTTTCTTTTTATCTTTTTTTTTTTTTTTTGGAGGGAACTTCCCGTCCCATCTTTTCCAACCCCCATGAATTGTTTACCTTTATGCTATATTTGGTTTAAAGGAAAATGTAGGGAAAGGTAGGGAAACTTATACAAAGTTTATATAAGTTTCCCTACCTTTCCCTACCTTTTCCTTCAAACCAATTATGAAATTGAGAAGAAAAGAAAATAGAAAAAATATAATGAAAACCTCACACATGATACGCACAATCATGTGCTGTAGCTTTTTTCTTTTTAGTTTTTTTTTTTTATTTTTCAAAATCTTACAAGGGGTCAATCTTGATCAAGTGCCGGAGCTTCCCTTTTATTTTAGCTTCTTTCCAAAATTTTACAAGGGATCAGTAACTCTTACCTTGATTTACCCCCTGCAAACAACCAAAGCTTCAAATACTAAGTATTTAGCATACCAAGGTATATCTGGAACAATATGATACACCCCAATACGTTGCAAATTTTTGAACCTGTATCCAATTAAAAAGTGGGTCCAGTCCAGTTTTTAATTTCTACAGACTCTCATTCCCGTTGCCCTTTTAATCAACCTTTCATACTCAATCTCTCTTTAATTATAAAAAAATAAATTAAAACGCACATATATATAGGATAAAAGGAATTTTAAAAACAAAATATTAAAAACAATCAAAATTTTATCCTTTTGCTTATAAAGAAATAATTTAAGAAATTCCTAGGTAGAAACCCACCACAACTCATCTAACACTGAAAGAAAAAAAAAAAAAAAAAGAAAAGACAAAGTACAAGACCGGCAATAATTACTCTACAAAAAAATATATATTCTAGATTTGAAAGTGGTAATATCAGTGAGCAATGGCATGAGTATTAATGATTCAATTACTCTTGTCATTAATCCAAAATCCAAAGGCAATCAAATTGGAGATTTGAGCTTTATTATTTTTGGTATAGAAGAATGGTGGATGCGACAGAGCAGGTTGCATGTGAAGCCCACTGGCCATCACGGAGAGCCTACATATCCACAAGTTTGATCCCACACCTTCTAAATGGAGGGGGTGTCATGTGATCATCTCCTAAATTGGACCAAGTTTAATTAATCGTGTATACACACATGTACCGTCTTCTATATTAAAATAAAACCTTATGGTGGCATCATTTTTTTTTTTTTCAAAAACAAACATCAAAAGAGGCATTAAACCTCTCCTAAGTTTGTTAATTGCAGTCACATCCTCTCAACTTTCTGGCACAGTTGCAAGTAAACCCCATTTTTTAGAATCTATAACAAGAGGTATGAAAATATTCAAAATACCCATGCAATTAGTTTTGACCAACATATTTATTTTCCAAAATTTCTCCTAATATTAATTATTACCCTAGACCCTTCAAATCTCTTTTCCAAAGTTGATTTATTTTTCATATTTTCCCTTCATATCAACCCTTCAAAGGAAAAAGTGCAACTTTAAACTCTTTTTTGGTTGTTATTCATAAAGTTTGTATAGTTCTTTTCTATAGAAACCCGATTCAATAATAACTGTATGGATATTTTAGACATTTTCATGCTTTTTTTAAGATTCAACAGAGAAGATTTACTTACAACTGCATAAAAAAATTCAGGGGAAGTGATTGCAATTAACAACGGTTCAAAACCTCGACTCTTCACAACGGTCCAAAACTTCATGGAAAGTTTCAGCAATTTACCTTGAAAATAAATTGGTGTCAAACAAAACTGATGAGAATACTAGTCTCGTAATTGGTACGGACTGGTCATTAACTAGTTATATAAAACAACAAAGCAAGCGGTGATTCAATTACTAAAGCAAGTAGCGATTCAATTACTCTTGTCCTTAATCCAGACCATTTGGTCCCTTTATTTTCCTATCCACTATTCTTCCTTTTACACGTGCACTCAATGACTCAACTAGTAGTTGCAACTTGAGAGAGAGAATCTTTTGAGGGGTAAGGCTTCTAATCCTCCTCCCACCCACCATAATAAATAAAGAAAAAAAGAAAAGAATGGACACCACTCATCGTCAAATATCGGTTGCAATAAAAGAACCCATCAACTGCTTCGGTGGCGAGAAGCATAAAGCCATCATCCACGTAAAGATTCTTCCGCAATCTTGCAACCACATCTAGCCTTTGGATGTCTACATTATACACTTTGTCTACATACCTGCATGGTGAAGAATATTTACTTCATTGATGATTGATGTACAACACTGCTTGCATGCTAAACCACGCAACTTTTTTTTTGTTTTTCTTTTTTTATTCCTAACGAGTAGTTTGTTACATTAAATCTTTATTGGCTTGAAAAGACATCACATACAACATCAAGACGACTCCTTACATCTACAACGCTGTATAGAGAACTTGTGCACAAGATGTTCATAAGCACTCTGCAAGTCGGCAAATCAAAACCATAGCTTAACTTTTCATAGACTAGCAACCTACACTTAATGACTATAACCAAAAATCAAATGGAAACTACAAATGATTGGAGATTGGAGAAAAAAAAAATATATATATATATATATCATACATCTCTAAGTAAAAAAAAAAAAAAAAAAAAAATCGGACCTTGCCCCACTTAGCAAGATCGAAAAAAAACTGGTCCGACTGATGATCTGAGCATGTCGCTCAAAGCCAGTTGAACTTCACTTGACCCATGTTCACAACCTATCAACCCTGATAATAGGGGGAAGAAGCCAGCCAGGTTTTTCTCAAATGAGATGTCATCCAACCCACAGATAGCCTGGAGGATTGCCACAATGAGTGGTGCACGTGCTGCCAACTCTCTCCTTGCAGAACCAAGAGGAATCAGCCAGCAGGGCCTTGATTGACCATCAGCAGATGGCTCAGGCAATCGCCCTGAGTGTGCTGTATCAAGGTAAGACTGCAGGACCTCCTTGCATAGATCAATGAGGTGAGCTTCCACTTCATCCTCATCATAACCAAGAGGCTTGTCAGCCATGAGATTCTGTAACAATGTGAGGCAGATTTGATAGGACTCATTCTCAAGACGCAACAATGGAGGGTCCTGCATCTGTGTCATGGAGCTAAGCTCCTGTAGCTTTGACCGCAGGTCATTGTCACTGTTTATTTTGTGAGCATGAGAAGCCACATTGTGTAATGATTCAAATAGCACTAAAGTGTTCTTTACTGAAAGTTGAGTCCTATACATGCCATAGATCTCCATCATAGCCTGCATAAACAAGGAAGAGCTCAAATTTACAAGGTATTTGTCACAATTAAACATTCAGAAAAAAATGGCAAGCCAATTTATACAGCTATCTTTCATCTACCAAGCTTCTGTCTAAACCAATTTGATTTTATCTAGTGTGGTGCCCCAGAAAAAAAAAACAAAAAAACAAAAAAACAAAAACAAAAACAAAATTGTTTTATGTTAACACTGCAAACTACCCATTCCCAACACACGGGTTGTAAAAACTCTACAAGTGCCAGTAAACCTTAACCAACTGGATAGTTATCTTCATAAAGAAAATGTTCATGTAACAAAATAACTTAAAATATTGAGCATAAAGAAATGTCATTATCTACAGGCTGTCTGAATATTGGGAATTTGAGTGAGTTGTGCCCAAGACTCTACAGGCTGTCTGAACATCAAGAGAGGGTTGATCAGTATTATGAAGTAAGGGGGGTGTAGGTGGTGTGGTGTCCCAAATTTAGAAGACCTTTTGCTGGAATAGGAGATGGAAAAATGTTTAACGTTGCTGGACAGGCTCAAGAAAACAAATATTTCACCTTCTTCAAGGGATGGTCTGTGGTGGAAGGAGTGCAGGGACGGGAAGTTTTCTGTGAAACCTTTCTACTTGAAGCTGGTTAGAGACCAATTGGAATCAGACCGAGTGGAAGGTGTTTGGGGGAATCCAGTTCCTCCTAGAGTGGAAGCCTTTGCTTGGCTGATTGCTCTGGACAGTATCTTGATTTCAGATCATTTAAAGAGGAGGGGATTCAACATGCTGAGCTACTGCTATGGAAGAGGAGTCAGTCTGTCACTTGTTCTCTTGCAAGATTGCAAATTTTATCTGGAAATTTTGTTCTTTCCTCTTTGGGGTAAGAGCATTTCAGCCAAGAACTACAACAGTAACTGTTTTCTAGTTGGCCAAAGCATAGAGGTAGCGGGAAATCAAGGAAAGTTTGGAGCTGTATTCCATTTGCTGTGTGTTGGGTCATTTGAAATGGAAGGAACAGAAGGTTGTTTGAAAACAAATCAAAGAGCACTGAGGTGTTGGTGGCTTTGGTTGGAAAATTAGTGTTGGATTGGATTTTAGTTCTCTCAGATTTTGCTCAAGTTAATCGAGCAGAATTGGGGAGAGTTTCTGGAATGTACTTGAAATTCAAGCTTGTAACATTGATCAATTCATAGTAGATTAGTTTTCTGTTGAGTTGCTTTCTTGAGGTGTCATCTTGACACCGCTCAGATTGTACTATTCTTTTTGTTTAATGAAATCTTTTCTTCTACTCTTTAGAAAAAGAAATGTGATTATATGTTTCTGTTTTTAAACCCCTTCAGCAATCTAGTGACAATTTTTTCCTGCACAGAATACAAGTTCATCATGCATGTATGGAATGTTCCAGGGACCAATAGACAGGAAACCCCCCCTTGAATGACACAAATTCAGATGTGAGTTATACGATGCACTTGGGATAGAAGACCCCTTTCTATGCCCCTTTTTCTCCTCCTCTATGTTTGTCATTTATTTATTTTCTTGTTTATTAAAAAAGTGTCTCGTCTTTTCTCTGGAGAACATTAATACCGTCTTAGAATTATCATCTTTTACTTAACATTTCTTGTCTTATTAATATTGCTTTTTAAACGAAACTTGGAAAGAGCATAAACCATGCATCCTGTTACCTAATGCCTCAGGTGTGACCTTCCCCATAACTACATTCAGAAATCAGAATTCTTGTCAAATTGTTCAGATTCAATATGCTCCGATACAAGGGGTGGATCAGCAACATCATTCATCATAAAAACCAGTGTACAGATTCTGAACCAAAGATATATCACATCCCAGCCTTAGGCTTATGGTTAGTCTCCTCCTAACAGCATTGCTCAATCCATGGTTTTTAAAACCGACCTGGTGACCGAACCGGTCAGGGGTCCGGTTACCAGGTCGAACAGTTGGCCCGTTCTGACAAAAAAATAAAAAATTCAAAAAATTTTGAATAACGGTCAAAATGGTTCGAATGGTTAACCGGCCAGTTCAGCGGTTTGCTGACCAAAATCAACAGTTTTGGGGAAAAAAGGGGTTTTGGGGAAAAACAGAACCGGTCAGGTGACCAGTTCCCGTTTTTTCCAGTCCGACCGTCCAGTCCAGTCCAGTTTTGAAAACCATGGCTCAATCATTTTATGTGCCTGTGTTCGGGGAAGAGTTTATCTTGATTCTATCCATGTCTCAACTACAGCAGAAAAGATGTCCACTGATAACCTTCTGTATATTTTTCTTACCATTTAGTGTTTTAAAAAAGGGTTTTGTTAGAAAGGCATCGGTGCGAGTAGCATTTACAAACTGCATAGACCTGGATAGATCAATCACGTTTTGACCTATCAAAAAAAAATCATGTTTTGACCTTACGGTTACAAACAACTTTTGACATATTCTTGTACCAGTCCAAATGGTTCAATTCCCAAGTCTGGCACAGGTTTATAACTACCAAAGAAATTTCATTGGTATAATTGGAAAGTAAATAAGATCCTATGTATGAAACAAGACCTTCCGGATTGAAAAAAAAAAAAAAAAAAGTAACACCTGAACAAATCAACTATCAAAATAATAGACCCACCCAGTTTTTCATTTTGACAAGAACAGTTCATTGGCTGAAAACTTCAGATTTGTTTAGATGTTACTCCTTTGATGATCTTTGGAAAAGTTGGGCAGAGGTGGTCTCCACAGCCGTAAAAAGAACTACAGGTAGTTTGGAGACCTCCTACAGAGGGTGTGATAAGCTGAACTTTGATGGGAGCAGTCAAGGTAATCCAGGACCTTTGGGTATAGGAGGAATCTTAAGAGACAAGGATAGCAACATTCTATCCCTATTTTCAGGACCAGTGGGAGTCGGTGATTGGACGATCGCTGAGATACTGGCTGCAGTACAAGGAATACAGGTTGCCAACCAACTACGAGTGGAAAACCTGATAGTTGAGGGAGACTCTAAGGTGGTAGTGTATTGAATCCAGAAACAGTTTTTGGGGCTACAGGGATCTTCTTAAGAAAGTTAATTGGCTCACAAGAAATAAGTCGGTCAGTTTTCAGTGGGTTAGCAGATTGGCAAATGCCATGGCTGATTCTTTGCCAAACAAGGGGTCTCAAGGGTAGATTTATTTTGCGCTACTTTATGATTGTATTTTGTTAAGAGTTTGGTTAAGCTCTCACCTCTAAGGGGAGGTAACATCTCGTGCCTCCTCGTAGGGAGAATGTACACGTCCATCCTTATTAATAAAATCATTGTTCATTTATTCAAAATAATAGACCCACCTAAGCAACAAAGTGAAAGTTCTGAATATTACGATGGCAGAGGAATCGGCAAATGAGTCAAGAAGGTAGTTGGGTATATCTTCTTGGGTTTTATGGTTGGTGCCACTTGTGGTGGTTTGATTGCAGTGCAGGTTTGTGTCTTACTTTGGCTTTAATAAGAGCAGGTGTATATTTTCCATCTATTGTGAAGGCAAGAGTTTTCTACAGGGTCTCTTGCTGTTCTCCTTTAGTCGCTTGTTTCCATCCTTCTATGCCCTTTCCTCTTATATACCTCTTGTATTCATTTGGTAATCTTTATAATGTGATTAGTAGAAAAAAGGTGTAAAAAGAGGGAAAATGAAAAGAAGAAAATGGCATACCTGAACCAAAAGAAGCTGTACAGCAGTACGACACCTGGCATCTGAAATTGCAGAATAAATGCTCTGTTTTCTCTGGCTCCCAATATCATCAGGCTGAACAGATCCAGCAGATTCCCCATTACTTTCTCCAATTGAAGGCTCTTCATGGTCACTTACCACATCATTTTCATCAATGATGTGTGAAAAATCAGGAAGTGTTGAATTAGCTGCTTCTTTCAATGACAAAACTACTTCTAGCCATTTATCCTCAGAAAACAGAGCCCCAGCACTGCTCATTAGCCGAACAAAAGCAGCAATTCCAATTCCAGCTAGGCTTTGGTGGGGACGCTTAATGAAACTTACCAGCAACATTAGCACTTTCCACAATAGTGGATTGACAGTACCATAAAATTTTACAAAGAGATCTACAACCAGTTGGAGGGCCAATGTACATGTTTCATAAAGCCATGAATCCTGATCAAGCTCAGTTGGATCACCTTCATCTCCCTGGCCTTGTAAGTTTCTATCAGAAGGATCAATAGCATGACGGACATAATCAAACAAGGGGAAAAGGACTGAATCAACTACTCGCTCCCACAAAGGCAAGGAGAAAAGATGCCCATGGTTGCATAAAGTATCAAACAAAACTTGCAAGGCACTTTGTCTGATATCAGACCTTGGATCAAAGCTAAGTTCTGATAATCCTGCAAAAAGAAAGATAATTCTCATATTCTATGTTTGCTTTGACTTCTCATAATTAAAAAATAAGTTCTATTATTCTATGATAGGAATGGGTGCTGAAATACTTAGCAATTCTATAGTACTTTCCACCATAGCAAAGAACAAATTAGATGCATATATTCCCTTACCAGCCAACAATGGGAACCAGAAATAGAGATGGTCATCCTTATCAATGATCTCCGCACTTTCTTGTTTTCCATCTTTGCCCATTTTGGGTGAAGATGGAGAAATTTTTACAGAAGATTCCCTCTCCTTATTCCTTGATGAGGAACCAAGATCTCCTTCGGCAAGTTTCACAGCACAGAACCGAAGGAAAGCAATTGCATTGAGACTAATGTCTTTGTTGAACCTGCTATTAGTAAATGCAATCAAACAGTTCACACAATCTGTAAAAGTAGTCGTTTCAGTTTCAGTTATGTAGGGGAAGTAATCTCGCACAATCTTCTCAATTATCTCAAAGGCCAAAAGCACAATATTCTTGTGGTCATCATAAGCTGCAGTTGTGAAAACCTAAAATGTGGAAAAATTCATAAGTACAAAATTAGATATTGAATAAGATAAGTAATAAGTTGACCATGACAAGAAAAGGAAATTTAGGAACAAGTACCATGAACATGCTTTTCCAACCCGACTTCACATTATTAACACGGGATAAAACCATTTGTGAAACACATCTGATAATCAATTCCCTGATTTCAACAGCACTGCTCTTGCGCATGACAATGATAAAAGGTTTCATGAACTCATTCTGGAAATTATAATTAGCCAACTCTTCTCGTTCTAAAAATTTCATTGCCAACTGGCGTAAGGAATCCATTGCAAAAATTGCAATTGAGAGATTTTCGGAACAACCAATGGTTACAAAGAAATCAGAGAGCACATGCCAGATCCTTGACCATACAAGCCTGATTCGATTCATGTTGTAGTGCCTGTATTATAAGATTTGCAGGAATTTTCCACATTTAACAGCAGCAGAGAAATAATAAATAAATAAATAAACTGAAGTGAAGATATTTAAAGGTGTTGAGTGGGCTGATTTATGTTGGGCCGATTTATGTTTAGTTTGTTTTCTTTTAAATTAAGAAGTTGTTGGGCCTTGGGCCCATTAGTCTTTTATTTTTAAAGGAATTGTAAGTACTTAGTTGAGTTGCCACCCTACTAGGGGCATCTTTGTAATATCCCATATTTAAGTTAATTATAAATAGAATG